TGCACGCACACACACACACAGACACATGCACACACACCTGTGATGGAGATTTTACAGTACAGAGGACAGGGAAAACAAAATACTTCCCCCCTCCACGAGTACACACACGCCACCTGCTGGCAGGGGTTCGCTGCTAAATTCATCACGTCAGCAATCTCCCACTGTCTCCCAGACCCTGCGTTCTCAAGTCAAAATTACTGTACAGACAGACACTGTGGTTTTAACCTTTCCACGGGAGGAGTGGCAAGAGAGAGGGGAAAGTATAAATCTCTAATACTCTCACACCAATTGTACACGTGCACACATGATTTTAATGCTCACCGGCAGACGAGAAACATTGGTCATCTGCGCACGCATGCACTCACTCACTCAGACAATTCGTAACATTAAATGTTTTAAGAAGTACAGATAAAAAAGGAAAAAAGCCCTGGGTATAGGTTTCATTTCTGGCTGTTTGGTGAAAGAAAGGAGAAGAGAGGTAGAGAGGGCAGGAGGGGTGGGTCGGAGGTCGAGGGCAGACTACTGGTGTCATTTCTTAGCTTTCCTTGGGGGGGTGACTGGGCGGCCAGAGCCCATTCCCCCTCCGCCACCGTAGAACAGCTTCTTGTCTGCAGGTTTGAGAATCTGTAAATAGGCAAAGACGATAAAACAAAAGTGAACATCAAAAATGCTGAAATTTGAATATGTAGGATGTGTGTGTTCATCTCTCTCTGCCTTACCTGGAATGAGCACATGAGGGTCTCATCTACGCTCATCATGGCTCCGGCGTTGTCAAACTCCCCGCAGTAGTTTGGGGCTGAGAACAGCGTCACCAGCTGCCTCTTTGCAAAGAACTCATATCCGTCCTCGACCACCTGAAAACACATTCACGACATGTTAAGCTGTTCTTTTAAGGAGACTAATTTCAAACATTTGCTTCTCACCTGTTAACAATAAATCATTTACAGAATGTTAACAAAAGGGCTTATACATCATAAATACATTGCTATCACTTAAATGGCCGCCCTGGTTATCAGTAAAACTGGGCTGAAATCCAACTGCTGAAATGGCCATGGGGTTATCCAAGTACTTAGCAGTTCAACCTGACTTTACTTCAAATATTCACCAACAGCTGGACACGCTTGTTTGATAAAATTCTAGGCGTTCATTCCTACATCTTAACCGTGGGATCAAGGTAGTGCACTGACCTGATGGGCCCGACAAATGAGGTCCATATCGTGTTTGTGGAGGAATTTTGTGACCACGTCGGCGCCAAAGGTGAAGGAGACGCCGCGGTCGTTCTCGCCCCAGCCGAGCACGTCCTTATCCGGGTCGGCCCACAGCAGATCGCAGAGGAGGCCCTGGTCAGGCACGTCAGTGGGGCGCATGACCCGTCGCACCTGCTCCATAGACTGGAGGTCTGGGGACAGGCCTGGAGAAGTTCGATGTAGGACAATGAAATGTTAGAAAGCAGAAGAAGAAAAACATACAGTTTGTTTCTTGGTGTTCTGAAGTCTAGGTTTGGTTTTACTGCCCATTTAAAAAAAAAAAAAAAAAAGTAAAAAAATTCACCAGAGAGAAAATATCTTGACGTTAATATCCCAACTAAAACAAGGCAAATGTAAAATCACATAAAATACATTTTCTGAAATAAGACCTGCAATCAACTATACAGGAACTACATTATTTACGTTTACTGTGGTGTTTGTTCACTTTGTCAATGATCGTAAACACAGACGTAAATCAGACCCTTATTAACTTTTTAGAGCCGATTAGTTGATCAACAGAATTCATTGGCATCCACTTAATCGTTTGAGGAACTTTTAAGCAAAAACTGCAAACATGACCTATTTACCGCTTCCCTATTAAGTATGATCTTGTAGACATTTTTTAAATGCTCAAACTTTGAGTTGTGTATGAATACTTCTCATTTATATGATTATAAAAGAGGCCTTGAGGCTGTGACTGCAGTGTGCTCAACAGATAAAAACGATTGAAACATACAATATCCTTTCCGTGTGTTATGTAATTGAATGTTTGAAGGGGAAGATGGCGTTTGTCGTCATGACTGTCGGTGCCTGTTTACATATATTGCATAGTGGGTCTCGCAAATACGAGATAGCCGTGACTGGCTGTTGGTGTCAAGTTATTTTCTTGTTAGAAGCACCGCAAGTGCGATTAGAAATAAGAATAAAAGAAATACTCTACAGCCATGACCGCTGAACAGGACAAGGCTACATAAATAAACCCAAACAACATATTAAGATCCCACACAGTCTAGCAGGCCTTTGACCGTTGTGTTGACAGTAACCACAGTGCAGAGGCGAGTTTGTGTGCGCTCGCTCTGGATCGAAGCCAAATGAAGTGTTTGAAGAGGATACCTCCATGGCAACAGAAAATCTTCTCATCAACAATGGCTGCTACAGGCAAACAGTTGAAGCAGTCAGTGAAGGTCTTCCACAGCTTTATGTTGTATCGCCTCTTACCTGTGGGAGGAAGCCAAAATCACATGAACCCCAATCTAATCTCGAAACCAATAAAATGAAGAGAACCTATTGCATCACTGTAGAAACAATACTTTCCATAAACACGACTCTAAAAAAGCAGAGAACAGTGTGTGATTATTCACGGCTCATCGTGCCCTTTCATACCGCGACGTTATCTGTGTTCTGGCTTTAGTTTCTACAGATAAGTCAGTTTCACCGTTTTTGTCAACTCTTAACGATACTCTTCATTTTTTCCCAGGTTTCTAACATTTAAAACATCTTAATGTACACCAATGACTGCATTACCATGACTATACAAAAGCCTTCAGGCTCGGGCTTACATATTTAGCAAACTGCTGAATAGAAGTGGTAACATTAATGTATGTATGCATCTCAAACTTACACTCATCGTAGAAGCCATATATTCTGTTAATGGAGGCGCACTCATGGTTTCCTCTCAGCAGGAAGAAGTTTTCTGGGTATTTGATCTTGTATGCCAACAACAGGCAGATGGTCTCGAGGGACTGCTTGCCTCTGTCTACATAATCCCCCAGAAAGAGATAGTTGCTCTCTGGTGGAAAGCCCCCATATTCAAACAGCCTCAGCAGGTCGTAGTACTGCCCATGAACATCACCTGGGGAGAGAAGCAGCATTAGAATGGAAACAGCAATGGTTGGTCAAAGGTGTAATCATCATGCTGCATGTGTATATGTGTGCACAACAAAAAGGTGAGGGACTTGGATAGAGGTACAAAAACACTTGGCACCGTGCAAATTAACAGACAACTAACTGAATGTGCAGGCGTGCATTTAGTGCGAGGATGCTGGTGATTCTCACAACACTGCATACTTGGCCAGTTCCTGAAATTTGTAGACTGTTTCTTTAAACTAACATTCTTCATTAAGTGACATCAGCAGTGTGACGTGAGAGGGCAAATCCAGGGAGACTTGAGGGGCAAAACAGCCCTGCACTGGAAAGCCAGTTTTAACAGCTCATCCCTATAGTTCTGTAATCATGTGGCACAGTCACAGCCATGCACTATATAACGTGAGAGCGGGCTTTCTCATAACAGTTCAGCACTATAAGCTACAGTCTAAGAGTGTTTGTAAATGCTTTTTGACCACACTTGTGAGTTCTCCCAAACTCTAAAGAACACAACTAAGCCTCACCACAGATCTTGAGGGGCGCCTCAAGTTCGAGCAGAATTGGCTGGCTGAGGAAGATCTCCCGGGATTTGAGGCAGAGACCACGGATTTCATTTTCAGTCAGCTGAACATTTTTGCCAGGTCTGGAGCCTTTCACTGCGAAGAGAAAAGGCAACAAGAGTGAGAAACAAAAGACCATGAACACAGTAGAGTTTAGTATTCATACTCATGCGTTACTAAAAAGTGTCAGCAGTTATTGTGTGTGTGTGCGCTCATTAGTATTCAATCATGGACTCTTTCCTCCATCATACAATCAATCACTCTAAAATAAAATATAATATGTTTGATTGATGTGTGGAAGAAAATAATGGTGGATTGAATGTTTTTAAACTTGAATGGCGAGTACTAATCTAGTGAAGCTCAGTTTTTAAGCAGTAAACGTGTTAATATTCTACTTTGCCCTTGAATTCAGCCAAGTAGTAGCTTTAAGAGACACATCCTGGAGATGACCCATAAATAGTGAACTTATGACTTTCTGATACCACAAAGAGTGCTAGTACATGTATATGGAGATTACTTTAACTACTAGCTCAAAACATGCCACCTGATGATATACAGAGACATTTATAATATGTTCCTGAGCATATATCTTGACCGTTCTGCTCAAATGCATTTGGCTATAAAGAAAAGTAAATTTCGTCCAAAGATTCGTTAAACACTGGCAGGACGTGGACGACAAAATTAGCAAGATGCTTTATATTGCTCCAAATACATCATTTTAAGTGAAAACGTTAATTCCAATTCAACGACACCGACCATTATAATGTCCAGTGTGATCATAATGTTGACGTTATTAAATGCTGGTGAGGTTAATTTTCTGCAGGAAGGATGCTGCTGACTATAAGTGGCGGTGAATAGTCTGTGTTTCGTTAAAAGAAAGAGATGAACTCTGCTATAACGTAGCATAGGTGGCTATCGTTGTCTAGCCTCTGTTAGCTAAAATGGCTACCTCGGAGGAATACATATCGAGCGGAACAGTCTTACCTTCCAGCAGACGTTGTATAATGGAGTCGATGTTCAGCTTATCGGCTTCGGCCATGCTATTCTGGTTGGTTTCTAATCACTCCGACGAATACAAGACTTAGTAAGTGTTCACTGGCTACCCGAGTTACCGTTAGCTCGACTAGTTTAGCGTTAATCGGCTACCGTTAGCCCGCTAGCTAGCTAACCTTGGGGCAGAATTGGCAACCTCAAAATGTGAGGCTTGGTGCTGAATTTGTTAAAGACGTGATGGCTGTCATGTACTTCAGAAATCCGCCTTCGTCAACTATTTTCCATCAGATGTCCGAATTAATGGTCAGTATTCGTAATTTCTCGTGACAACTATATTTCTGCCGTAGCTACTAGCACCATGCCATCGACAAAAAAAAATGGCTCGACGAGCGCTAGCTCAGAGCGAGGTTGAACGGAAAAAAAGCTCTGATCGTTCTCGTGCTCCCATTGGTTGGTTTGGCCAATAGGCGGTGTTTAGGGGGCCATTACTCTCCCTGATTGGCTGTTCTCAACATCGGTCATCATTTGCTTATCTCAAACCACAATGTAAAAAGAACAATCGTTCTCGGGTATATGTCGCGTTTTTGTTGGCCGTAATTGTAATATTGTTGTCAACAATGTAAGATAAACCGCGTTTGACCACATTTACTCAATTATTGGCGTTTGAATCGTTCTGTATTCGTTGCGCAGTAAAGCGACACCCACGGAAGTGACCAAGATGGGAGCAACTGACGACGTATTTTGGCATGACGCAATGTCCTAGCGCCTGGCAACACTCCCCGAATGATTCATTCTGAAGTTGAGAGATGGCTTAGCGTTACCTAGCTTTACAATTGACTGTTGAGATAAACATGACTCTAACTCAGATACACGTTAAACTATCTATTTCACGATAACAGTACTCTTTTGTACACCATACAACCATCCGACCATGAAGTTGCTCCACAAAGACATTGAAAAAGATAATGCCGGGTGAGTGACTGGCTAATGTTAGCAAGCTAACCAGCATGGTATATTGCAGCTGATTGTAACGTTACATGTGTCAACTTAATCAACTTAAATCAAGTTTCAATATGTGATTTACATTCCCCTGTAACAGTGTGTGGAGACGTGAGTTTTGGGCTAGTTGGTACAAAATAGTTATTATGTAATCACACACACACACACACACACACATACGACACGAAAGATATGAGCATAGATTGTATGACAAAGACTGTCGATGACAGAGCATATACAAAACAAAGTAAGTAAACAAATCTAACCCTATATAGTTATAATTGATTTACACTCCATAATTGCTGTAGCAGAATGGACGCATAACTGCACCATCTGTGTAATTGCCCTCACTAATGACGAGACCTCTTTAAGTAGGAGCATATCCATAGTTTAATGATGTGATAATCAAAGCCCACGTGACATAACACCAACTCAACCTGGCTTATTGACTGCATGCACTTCTTCAGCCAGGTGACTCTGATGCCAGAGGAGGCAGAGGATATGTGGCACACCTACAACCTGCTGCAGGTGGGGGACAGCCTGAGAGCCTCCACCATCAGGTAACCACTAACTTCTGTGGCATAAAGTGAAGGCTGAAGCCCTGTAGTGCAATGCACGCACACATATCTCAGCACACATTGTATCTTTGTTATCTTGTAGCACTGCAGAATTGGCAATGCAACATCTTTTTGTTTTATTATTCCATTAGATGATATGGATAAAGATTCTCCTACAAGTTACTGTGTACATTTATATAGTGTCAAATCAAAGCTACTCAAGGTTTAGCTCCCGTCCACCTTAAATATGGCCACTGATCAGATTTGATCACCCAAAACAAGCAATGCAGCCGGTCACGCAGGTGGACTTTGTAGCAACCTGACAGATCTGAAATGGAGAGCTGCAACAAAAAGCTTTATTTACACATGACTTCTGCTTTTGCAAGAATTCCAGCTCTGTATTGTACCTTCTCAGCAATATAAATACTGCAAGTCTGCTTCAGAAACGTATGTTGATCATGATAGGAATCACAATAGTGTTTGCAAATGATTGTGCTTGTTCATCAGCTTTTCTCTCACTCTCTGTCTGTATATCGCTCATTGTTTTGGTCGGAAACACACACACACACACACAGGACTAAGCTCACTTTTCCCCTGTTCACACAGGAAGGTGCAGACAGAGTCACCTACTGGAAGTGTGGGCAGCTCCAGAGTTCGCACTACTCTGACCTTAAGTGTGGAGACTATCGACTTTGACTCTCAGGCCTGCCAGTTGAGAGTAAAGGGCACTAACCTAGAGGAGAACCAGTATGTCAAGGTCTGAGATTTTTAAGCAACCTGGCAGCTGTTGTCATGTCACATGTATGTTTTAAAGTATGGCAGGCGGACTAGAGTAATGAAATTTGGGAGGCATGGATTGAAATTCATTGCCCAGCAGTACTACTTGTCATTTGTGTTATTGTTAACTCCTTTTTGATATAAGTAGTTGTTGTGATTGTGTTCTCTTCTTCATTCATCAGATGGGGGCTTACCACACTATCGAGCTCGAGCTCAACAGGAAGTTCACTCTGGCTAAAAAGAGCTGGGACAGCGTTGTGCTGGATAGAATCGGTGAGCAGGTGCCACTGAGATTCTAATTTGTTTTGTTCGGTCAGATTAACCACAGCAGAAAATATTGCTTTCATTCTTGTGTTTGATTCATTTAATCCCACACTTCCCACGTCAACCAGGACTTGTAAACAATAATCACATGGACTCACAACTGTCTTGTTTACCAGACTGAATTTCATGGTCTTTTGCAACTGCACACTCAGCTGTTAGAATCTCAGCATCCGATTCCATATAAACATTAAACTGCATGTTACATTTTTGCCTGTTGGCTAGTTATGTAAATCCCTTTGCTTGAATGTCTTGCTAATGTCTTACAATGATACTATGACTTGCTCTTTTTTATTCTTAGTAATAAATCAACTACAATTACCAATTACACATTTAAAACATTTCTTGATTATGTCACAAAGTACCCACAAGCTCACATTTATGGTTGCCTTGTCTACCCTTCAGAGCAGGCATGTGATGCAACCCAGAAGGCAGATGTGGCGGCTGTGGTAATGCAGGAGGGTCTGGCCAACCTGGTGCTCGTGACCCCCGCCATGACTCTGGTCCGTGCAAAGGTGGAGGTCACCATTCCTCGCAAGAGAAGGGGAAGCTGCACTCAGCACGAGAAGGTAGGTCAACTTTCTGCAGCCACAAGGAGCTCAGACACATGAAGTTGTTTTTGACATATAAATATAGAATTTACAGTAAGTAAAATAGGGTACATCAAAAACAGAAGAAATAACCAATAAAACAATCGTATTTTGAAATCGAGTCATGCTAAATTTTACCATCCATAAAAAAAGAATCAACATTAAAGGGAAACTTTGCCTCCTTTTATGTGGATGTCCAATCAGCTTTGATGGTTAAATGTAGTCGATATTGACCCAGAAAGCTGAGTTCGCAGCTGCCAAGTATGTTGTACTTCCTGCCTCCAGTGGCGTCATTTGACATGACAGTGACGGCGTTGAATGCAAGGAAGAACTACAGGCTAATAGAGCCTGGACTGCTGGTGTCTGCCTCTGGGTAGCCAGGGGGACGTGCTCTAGAAACCGCTCAAAAACAGAAATTCCTCGGTTCTCTAGCTGCGGGCGGAGCGGACCCTCCTGGCATTAAAAGCTCAACACATCCTGGTACAGCAGGAGAACTCAGCTTCCTCATTCAGTATAACACGCGCTGAGGAATTTATTGCTTCAATTGAATATCAAAAACTGATTATGCATCCACATAAGTGGTGCATTTTCCCTTTAAGACAAGAGTCAGGGAGAGATAGAGAGTGTGTTGGATGCATACTAACGTTTTTGTTTAGTTATCATGTGGGTAAGATGACCCCAGGTTTAAAACACAGTTCCTCAGTACTGGGACCTGGTGTATTAGTTATGTGGGCTGGTGTTTGTCTCTCTGTTTGCAGGCGCTGGAGAGGTTCTATGAGGCTGTGATGCAGGCAATTCTTCGCCACATCAATTTCGATGGTAGTGCCGCTGTGTAGACCCTGACATATACACACTTACACATGCATACATATACAGTATGTTCCTGTTCTGTGTCACACACTTCTCCTTTTTATTTCTCTTTCTTGCCTTCTACTAGTTGTAAAGTGCATCCTGGTCGCCAGTCCAGGGTTTGTGAAGGACCAGTTCATCACCTACCTTTATAAAGAGGCGGTGCGTCAGGACAACAAAATCCTGCTGGAGAATCGACCCAAATTCATGCTGGTCCACTCGTCATCGGGTCACAAGTACTCACTCAAAGGTATGAGCTGGTGGGTAATACAATAGACTGAAGCGGTCAAATGTTATCACAAGGTGGAAACTTAGTGAAAAGCTTGTTGTTTTGCAGAAATCCTGACTGACCCCACTGTGACAAGTAGGCTTTCTGATACCAAGGTGACTCTGCTCGTTTAATCGTCTCGTAAACAAATGCTCGCAAGTTGACAGAAGTGACTCACTGGTAGTTATGTTTACCTTTCAGGCAGCTGGAGAGGTGAAAGCCCTGGACGATTTTTACAAGATGCTCCAGCATGAGCCGGACCGAGCCTTCTATGGGTGAGTGATGATGGACTAGAACGGTCAACAGGAAGTGACCCACGGAGTCCTCCATATTCACACTGATGATCCACAACCTCTGTGTCTTTGCATCCTCACAGAATCGCTCATGTGGAGAAAGCTGCTGATGCCCTCGCTATTGACACCTTGTTGATAAGCGATAACCTGTTCAGGTACATGCTGAGACATTCTTTGGGTTATCTATTTTTAATCAGACAGACTTGTCGGGTTAACCTCGTCGCTGCTGAAATTTTCAATCGTTTTCTCCTGGATTGTCTAATTTTATTCAATCAAAAATATATGCTATCAGATACAAAATTCACATTAATTCAGCTAGTCACATATTCCTTAATCTATTCTTGCAACTTATCTGGCTTTAAACGTATCGGTGATGTCAACACACAGTCGGGAACAATCAAATCTGATCTGTGTAACAATGCATGTTTTGTGTCTCCATCCGTCCAGACATCAGGATGTCCCCACGAGGAGTCGCTACGTTCGGTTGGTGGACAGCGTGAGAGACAATGGCGGCAATGTCAGGTACAAATCCTCCTTTAAAAGGCCGACGACGTTAACGTTCACTCAAAACTGGCAGAATATATTTTGTCAAGCATCCAGCTAATGAACTTTTTCTCTTTTTCATGCAGAATATTCTCCAGCCTTCACGTGTCTGGTGAACGTAAGTTATAAAAACACAGATTTTATTTATTCTACATTAGAAGACATGGAAGTTTTTTTGACAAACATATCTGAAGTATTCATTTGAACATTGTATTAATTCATGTTTACATTTAGTGTTCCTCACCAAAAGGCATTGTGGGTATCTTTGACGCCTAACAAACGTGTTGAATGTATTCTGTTCCTCATCCAACATTTGACTATCTCTTTATTGATGACCTCCAGTTGCACTTTTGTTCTTAAAAATGAAATATGCCTCAAGTCCTGGCTGTGTGCCGTCCCTTTTTGATTTGTCCTTGACTGTCTCCTCAGAACTGACTCAGCTGAGTGGGGTGGCTGCCCTCTTGCGGTTTCCCATTGCCGACCTATCGGAGACCGAGGACGACAGCAGCTCAGACGAAGCATGATCCACAGAAACGGAAGATCGTCGCAGATAACACAAGAATGCATTGACTCAGAGTGTTGTAAAACAATAAAACTCGTGTGGTGTACTCTATGTATGCCACCACTGCGACATTCACACCTCTATCACGTCTAATCTACACACCTCCTGTTTTCTTGAAGAGGTCGTAATTTAAAATAATTGAATGCCATTTTTAGTGCTTTTGGTTTGAAGGTGACAGTGTGTTTGAAAGCAGAAGGGAATGCCAATGAAAAGGATTGAACAGTTGTTGCCAAGTCCAAATGAAAGCAGTTAGCAATAGAACAAAAATATGATTTTTCTTTCCACGTGTATATACAATATATCCCTCTTGCAAATAAACAACAGAATCATTCATCCATGTGTGTTATTGTACTTTTTCACATGAACTATTCTCAGCATTCATAAATGAAAGACATGTTGGAGCAAGATGTAAAAATATATAATTTATTAAATACAGTTATGTAATTTTCAATTTAAAAACTATTTTGGTTATGGGTTATACGACCCAAAACTACTGCATTTCAACAAACTAAAAATCAAGTATGCTCAGGATTTTTAATTTGGTATATTGTTCTTTGAGTTCCACAGTTACAACACTGTAAGTTCCTCTTATTCTGCTGTGGCAAAATGTCAAATTGCTAATATCCTATGTGAAGAATTTCAGCAGCTAAGACTAAAGTGCTTTTCGAATCAACTTGCCTCTTTGTACTTTACGCCTCCTGCCCCATCGAATCCTAAATCTCGTTTCTATCAGCGTAGCCTTGAGTGTATATACGTGTGTACTTTTATACACTTTGCCTCACTCAGTAGGACACTGGTAGGTCTTAATCCAGGCTAAATCCTCCAGTGTGCCCCAATGCAGGTAGATAATTGAGCAAATAACCATGATATGCATTATCTGGTGGCTGTTGCCCCAGTTGTCAAACAGGCCAGGGATGAAGCGCTCAGGGATCTGGATGACGTTGACCAGCCCACCCATTACAGCCAGAGAGTCCATGATGACAAAGAGACGCAGGGAGTCTGGGCTGCCCGCCCCACTGCCGAACACCCGGAACAGGAAGAGGCTGAAGCGGAACACGGCCTGCCAGAGGAAAGCTTGCAGGCGCAGGATGTTAGTATGTGCCGTGGTGGCACAGTAGATGCTGTAGGCTGACAGGAGGATGTAGGCCAGCAAGGCAGTCTGTCGTATGGTTGGGTAGCAAAGAAGAGTGATGTGGATGATGGGAAGTGCACCTGGTGACAAGAGGGAAGATATACAAGTTAATAAACTGCAATAAAAGAAATAAGTCAGATGTTATTGTCTTGGTAGAGTCTCTGCTGGATGCTTGTCAACGGTGGCGACAAGACTTCAGGAAGTCACTGCTCGCAGCCAATTAATCATAACTCCATGTGACATTGTGATTAATATATTGCTTTTTGTACTGGTTAAACAAACTAGGTATAAAGTGTTCATTGGAGAGCTTTCAAGGTACTTGAAGGTGGATTTTACCACCTTTGGACAGAGTCAGGTTAGCTGTTTCCTTCCATTTCAAGTCTTTATGCTAAGCTAAGCTAATCATCTCATGGCTCTAGCTCCATATTGAATGGAGTGATATGAGAGTGGTGTTGATTTTCTCATCTAACTCAGCATTTGAGTGATGATCAAGATTTGCAATTTGCTTATGAAGACATTCGACTTGATTTGACATGGTTGTGAACGTTCTTTACCTTAGAAACTGTATTCTGACTAAATCTTAATCCAAGGTCCACTTATCCTCTTTTTTCTTTTCAAGTGCAGCTCACTTTCTTCATCAGACAAAAGATACACGAATGAAGATTGTCAGATGTAATTTGTCCGACTTGAAAATAGCTTTGATTCGATGATGTTGCACCCAGTGCAAAAAAAAAAAATCGCATCGAAGACAGCAGAGCCAATCAGCATCAAGGACCTACCCAGGGTGTTAACTAGGCAGACCCCAAACATGTCCAGGGAGAGCAGGGTGTCATACACATGTTCTCCTCCCACATGGTTCATGAACACATGGTAGACAACCGAGCCCACGGTGGGGCAGAGGCAGGCCAGGTAGTGGACCACACAGATCCAGACGCTGTCCACCTCCATCCAGGGGATACTAAAAGGTAGCAGCACCAAGAAAAGGAAAAAAGGGACTCCTGAGGTGACCAGAAGATTAGGAGATAAAAGGAGAAAGAAAGAAAATGAAGTGAGATAAAGATAAAATGAAAAGCGTTGGAAATATACACAGATGTGTTATTTCTTCAGTTATATTGGCATCTGTTTTTATATTGAGCAGATGTTGAATATCACATCATGCAGAGCAATATGAGGAATTTAATAGTCTGAGAGGTTCCTCTGTTTTATTCTTTACCAGGAATGTGAAAGATATGGCTGTTGGCAACACGCATAAGGAAACATGAGCAAGACTCTAAAGCCCTTCACTTACCCCTAGTAAGAGTGTTAGTCTTAACGAACTTATGGGATAGCCAAGGAGAAAATGGAGTGAGGAAGATGCATTCAGAAGTTCAAGGTCAGTTCATTTTAAAAAAATGTACACGTCTTTGCACAGGTTTAGCCAGGTTTTAATTTGTCGTTGAAGTCTTACATTAAAAGCACACATTTCAATATATGATTACACTCTAATTTTGTAACTGCTTGCAATTTAAGCAAACCTATGCATCTCCAGGATGCTTTGCCTGTTGCGTTACATGTGTGTACCTACAGCTGAAATGTGTCAACCAAACACACACCTAAAGACCTTGTTAACAGTTTGATATTTCCAGGACAAGGATTCCCAGGGCAGATTACAGCTAATGCCCCATATCCTCATTACACACCCTGGTCAAGTACGCTTGTAACTGATAAGTGAGAGTAGTGGACATCCGTCACCCGTTTAGCTTGTGCATCACCCGCATGAGTTAAATCATTAGAAACATTCGCTATTTTACTGTAAAGATATATTTCAATTCAACAATTCAGATGTAGATAAAAACAATAATTTACATTTTTAGATTTAGTCCAGATTGACACGAAGCAAAGGCATGCACAGTTATGTTCTGGTCTTACCATGGGTGTAAATGTTGCCCAGCTCATTGTGCATGTAGAAGAGGCTCCCGAGGCATTCTGGAGCCGTGGACACGGGCCGGTAACCCGTCAGGACATATTTGTTGAACTGAAGGTGCTGAGGGGTTTTTGTAAAATCCAACAGCCGCGGCCTTTTGTAAAGCACCATCACAACTTCCTGCAGCTAATGCCCTCACATTTAGTTGACAGTGCAGGTCCCTCACCATTTACATCCTAAACTAGTCCACACTCAGTCATGTCCACAGGCAGCCGGAAATTCTGCTCCTTGAAATCCATCATTGGACAGGTGTAATTCCAAGCAAGCGACCTGTTGAGCTGGCCAAGTGGCATGCTTTCAGGAGGGCCAATCGGCAAAGGGCTCTTATCCCTAAGCTGGGGTAATCCTCACAAAAAGCCATGTGCACTACCGCAGCTGCTACTTATCATGGCTCATAACTGACTAACATCTCAACTTCAACATAGGTATATTCTGTATTTCCCTTATTATAGACTGCACACAGGTTCCTATTCCCCATACACATTTAAAACTGTGTTGCATTCAGAATGATCTGGGGATTACAACACTTGAAGAGGTGATTGTTTTCTTAATGACATTCACTCACTGGCACAGATAATTCCATACAAACGAGGGATTTTCCACTGTGGGTATTCACTGATGGTTTTATTCAATCAAATTCTGTACAATAATAAACAGATGTTTGCCACAAGTGTAAAAAAAAACCTCTCCCATGCAAAAATAAATTAAACTGAATTATGTTTTACAGTATTCATTTTTTATCAGGCAAAACTGACTGATTCAATCAAAACACTGACAATATGCAAACTCCATGTCTCCACCAACCAAACTCATGTACAGTGAGCAGGAAGTGCAGGACAAAAAGGTAATGCAGGGGTGCATAATAATATCAGAAAACCCAACAACTCAAAATGTTTAAATGCGCTTTTATCTCTACTAACAAACACAAAAATACCAGAATTATTCGACAGACAGAATAAAATAGTAATATACAGATAGGAAAACATTCAAAGATAATATACAACGGCAGAAAAATATTATGCTTGTCGTTGTCTGCAGGTTTAACCTGTGTGGAGAAAGAAAATGTAGAGATGGTTGTACAGCAGTCTGCAAGCTGAATATGGTAATCTTTTAGTTTGATTCTGCTCTTACCTTGATAGCCACTATTCCCAAAGAAGCCATTCAAGTCATATTTGCCGCTCTTCTCTTCTGTGGGCAAAGAAAATAAACATTTCAACATGTGAAAGTTTTCAAAATACTTCTTTATCTTGGAATATTACATATAAAGTTTCACTTCAAAGACTCTGCCCAGATTTTAATGTTTGGCACTTAAAGGAATACTTAGACATTTTGGGAAATACACTTATTCACATTTTTGCTGAGAGTTCAATGAGAAGATTGATACCACTTTCATATCCGTCCGTTAAGTATGACGCTTAAAGAGCACAAAGACTGGAAATGGGAAAACAGCTCTTCTGGTGTATAAAACCACAACTTGGCAAGTAGTGTAGTTTATAGTACATTGTTTTGACCTCTCAAGGACTTGCCTTGTGGGTGAAAATGCAGTTTGAGATGCTGCTGAATGTGTATCCGACGTGGCAGCTGCTGTTGATGTAGCAGGTCATCAGGCTGCTCAGGCACCTGAGCCACGCCCTGCGTTTCTGCAGAGCCATGAGCGAGGCCGGCAGTGCCCACGGGTTCACGCAGGTCCTCAACACCTGCTCCAGGCACCACATCAGGCTTGAAGAACTCCACAGGCAGATAGGATGGGTCAGAGGGGTAAACCAGGGTGGGGCTGGGACTGGGAGCTGCAGGAAATGCGACATCTATGGAGGGAGAGACACAATAGAGAAAAAATAGAATAATTGTAAACTAAGATTTCAATTTTGTCTTTATTGTCAACGCACCATGTATGCAATTAAATCAATAGTGTGTCGGATTTATGGGGACCCATTTGCAGAAATGGAATATAATATTGAAAGCTGTTTTCATTCATATATAATCACCTGAAACTAAGATTTGTTGTATTTTTGTTAGCATTGAATGAGCCGTTCATATCTACATAAGGAGCAGGTCCTCTTCCACAGACTCCACCTCCATGTTTCTACTGTAGCCCACAACGGACAAACCAAACGATGGCTCTAGAGAGTCTTTCATGTTTTTACGTTATCTAAAGGCCATCTTAGTTCACCCACACGCTTTGAAAGTGAGAACTAGATGCCACTAAATCCGACACACAGCTCCTTCAATACATTTCCTTTTTTTTACCTTCTGGCTGCCCTTGTCCATTTATATAGCCCACATTTTCGGAAATTGACAACCGGTTGAACATTACCTGTATGCAGTTCAGCCAAAAGAGACCACCATGCAGAAATACACACTGTGTACTTACTGTATCTATCAATGGACATCCCATCGCCTTCAGCTGCAAATGCTGGCGTCTGTACATCTTCGTTCACTAAGAGGTCAGGAGTAAATAAACAAGATAAGAGACTGGGCTCTGAAGCATATTTGTGCCGATAATCTCATAAAAAGAAACTGCTTTTCCTGACGCACCATAAGATTTTCCAGCTGAATGTGGCTCAAGTGGCAGGGGATCATAAGGTAAACCAGCTGCATCTGTTTAAGGGGAAACGATATATGGTTACTGTATTTCTAATCCAACTGGTGGGAAATTAGTGGCAATAACGACAAAATACCATATTGTCCACCAGATTCAAGAGGCTGCGACTGGTATGGTCCCTGGTTATCTGTGAGAGATTGATATGAAATCATTATTTAGTGAAATGTTATAAATTATTGGCATGAAAAGGGCTAATAAATGGAATATACTGTACCATATTTCCCAAAAGGTTTTGCTTCACTCCTAAAACCAAGAGTTTGTGGTGCATAGGGAACTTCACCACCTCCTTAGCAGTTGCCAACCACATAGAGATGTCAAGTTAAACCAAATAAAGAAACAAACAAGGGATAATTAGAAGGTAGCTGTCATGTTTGCTCAATCTCACTGTATTTGCCTGTTAATTTTCCGAGCTGTCCAAGTCCAAGTGGTTCAGTCTGATATTGTCCAAGTGGTTCAGTCTGATATTGTCCAAGTGGTTCAGTCTGATATTGTCCAAGTGGTTCAGGTTGATATGGTGACCCAGGCAGACCTGCAAGAAAACACATAATTAAATAAATTAAACAACAAATACAATAGCTTAAGAATGTCTGTCTGAAAAAATCTAGACAACCTATGGTTTCATGACTCTGACTGCATTTCTATTTTCTCATAATTCACATTTTAATGGACTAATCATTGAAAGAAACACACTTTGGGAAATACACTTATTTGCTTTCTTGGCGAGAGTAAAATTAGAGGATTGATACCATTCTCATACCTGTGCGCTAAATAGGAAACTACTGCCAGCAGTCAGCTAACTTAGCTTAGCATACAGACTGGAAACACGACAAGTTGCTGTTACAAGAGGTTATGTGCAAAACTATTTCTTGGTTGAGGGCTGTAATTTCCTGGAGTATTTGCTTGTTGGTTGCAAGGCAATTTACCATACAAATAAGCTAATGAGAGTATTCCCCAGCATGTCAACAAGTCTTTACCATATTCTCCAGTAGATATGGCTTCAGGGCTTAGTCCAGCTGGTTGAGCTTCAAAAGGCATTCTTCCATAACCTGTAGACAAGATGGAGAAATAATAAAGAGGAAGAATACTAAAAGGTTCAGGGGTGAGGTGTGTGTAGCAAGCAAAGCAACAACAAGAGATATCAAAGTTAAGTATTCACCATATTTGCCGGCTGTATTTCCATTACTGCCGAGACCAAGAAGCTGCCCACCGTTGGGGAACCCACCATATCCTGATCACAGATGGCGGGAATAGAGTACAAAATGATTACATGACTTCTCAAAATGGGCCCTCAAGAGAAGCCGTTTCATAGTCAAGTGTAGATTTGATTTCTCCAGTGTGTACATTTCTGAAATGGCTACTGCAATGAAGATAAAACTACTAGCCAAAGCAAAAAAAAACATTTTGTCCCATCAAACTGACCATATTGTGCGGGTGCAGGATCCCCTCCCATGCCGGCACCAACACCACCTGCAAAGTATTTTGAATTAATAGAATATCTCAAGCTAGACATAAGGCCTTTGAAGCTCAGTGAAAATGGCAGCAACATGCCAGGATGAACTGGTTTGACTCCCACTTTGAGACAAACACACCAAAAAGTTAGCCTGTTCATGGAACGACACATTATTTTGAAATATAACATACTGCTTGACAAATGGCTCACCATATTTTGTAGATGATTTGCCATCACCAGCAGGCCCATAAGGGCTCCCACCATAACCTGGATAGAATTGAGACAGTTGGGAGACACATGGACTCATTAGACTCACCATTCATGCTTGTATTGATTGTTAATGGGCTATAGGGACTTTGGTGTATAAAACACGGATCAGTAAAAAATTAATTAGCAGTTTCCATCAAGGCCTACATGCAATAGACTGAAAAGAAAGCATGTAATTATAACATATCACAGACATACCATACTTCCCTGCTCCATTAGTCTCTGTACTGAGGGGTTGTCCACCAAATTGCAACCCACCAATGCCTAAATCAAAGTGAGCAAGTGAGTGGGCAGAGAATAATGTTGTATGGCAAATGAATGAAAAGAAGTAAGAAGTATAAGATTTATATGACAGTTCTGAACATCAAGGTGCCACAAACTCATGAAGCCGTAAATAAAACTCCCTATCCAGGCTACATTATAGAGTAGTCACAGAATACGACCAACAAGCACTCACCGTACTTGCCGTTTGATTTCTCCGCAGCCATTCCCAGGTTCTGACCGCCAAAAGGCCAGCCGCCCATTCCTGTAACATTGGAGAAGGTTTTGGTTCCGACATGTTGCATTTTTCAAAATGTTTAAGTTAATGTTAAGGCATGTGCTTTCTCTCACTGAGTTTTCTTGCATTAATAAAGATTTGAAAGAAATAACGTTATCCATACCACCATACATGCTGCCCAATTTTCCATTTGGACCAAGGCCAGCGGACTGAGGCTCAAACTGGCTCATTCCTGAATGAGTACACAGGAAATGTTTATCGAATAGATTTACTTTTACACCTCGAGATGAACGTGCTGCCAACTTTTACATAGTAATCACACCAAGTTCCTGAAATCAATGATCAGATTACAGAAGTGCATGCAAACACACAGATAGATCTACAAATTTTGCCTATCAGCATTTTGGATTACAGCCACTCAGATGTTTGGTATTTGGCTGTTGTGTCCGTTTTTGCAAAAACAACACAATCAGTTTTCATTGTGGATGACACTGTTGATTATTGTGTTCACCGCTAAATCATATTTTTATATGATGGCATATTTTACCATTTAGTCCAGCAGGAACCATTGGAGCTCCATGGTAAGGCATTTGTTTGGCACCACCTGCAGAATCAGCAAATTGGACAATAATGGATTATTTTTACTGTTTCCCTATCCATGCCTTGTTAATGTAATTTACTTCACCTTTATACTATATTTATCTTTAACTGCATCCTCACTTGCCACACATAGCATACCTGATTTTCCATTAGCACCTTGGCCAAGACCTGGAAAATAGAGAAATGCTTACTTTTACTGTAATTCCCACAAAATTGAATGAATTAAATTTCATATAATAGCACTTGCTTGCGTAGTCAGGTTGTACACCAGCACTGTAGCCATTTCCATTTCCTGCAAAAAAGACATCATAAACTCCCTTCGTGCTCTGAATTCAATGCCGAGCGAAATGGTGCAAAATATCACAGCAGCAACTACCGGAATACATCATCTACCAAGTCAGTGTTTAATATCCGTTCATGTATTCAGTGCTTTAACAAAGTTAGAGTAAACCTCAAATTCTAGCTGATCTGGACTGAACTGCTTCACCCAGACCTGCATTACCCGAGAGGAATTGCATAATTTAAGTAAAACTCGGCAGATTTTATATGAGAACAATTCAAAAACAGTTTTTTGGGGGTCCAAATTCAGCCTTAGTTCATAAAGCTATGTAGGCCTCACTCATCAGCTTACAAGTTGAATTAAAAGACAACTATTAAAGCTTATCCTTTCAAATTGTACCTCCATATGTATTTCCATATCCAGCTCCGAGGTACGCCCCTTGTCCGTAACCTGAGAGCATACAGAACAATCATCAAAACACATTCCACACCTCAAATTATAATGATTCCTATGCCCTATGAATGAGGTCCAATTGCTTTAAAAAAACAAAAAACACTCACGAGGTTGCTTAGGTTGCCCAGCATTGGGATAGCCAAGGTCTGCTGCACACATAAATGCAAAGGTACTTTGAAAAACACATCTGAACTTCCATGGAAGTGAAAGAGGAAACCAGGAAAATATCAAGATTCACTGTATGTTTATATTGACAGTAAATGTTACCATATCCATTGCTGCGTCCAGGGACAGTGTCGCCTCCAACTCCATAACCTTTGGATGAACAAAACTTCAATGAGAAATATAAGGTCTTTACCTTCACCTTTATACCACGGAAGAGAAAACAAGTACGGTGATATATATGTTGATAGATTAAGTATGATGTATCTTACTTTGTGGATTTAAAACCTTAGGTGTTGCCCTAATAGCCTTTTTATTAGCAGGCTCTTTACCTGGTTTGTTTGCTTTAGCTCCACCTCCATTTGGATACCCCCCTGTCCTGGCAGCATGTCCTAAACAATCGGACAATATCACTCAATTTCAATTATCATCTGCAAAATGCTCCATTGTGAACATTTCATACACATGAATTTTGAGGATGAAGAATAAAGTTGATTTACTGTTGGGTTTAGCACCGTATCTGTTTGGAACACCAGCTCCTGCTCCATAACCTAAAAAAAATAATGAAAGAATCATGAATAATTAACAATATAAACAATAAGTGTTATTTTATTCATGCAACAAACACTTCTGTACCTTTTGTGTTTGTGCCAGCGGATGCTCCAGCACCTGCATTATAACCTTGACATGACAAAAACAATGTGTACAGTTAGTTTTAATCATCTGACTCATCTCTGTGTTTAATATTCAAGTCCCGGTAGTGACCGAGCTCACGTAGGGTCATAAATAAGTGCTGCAATCAGTGGATTTATGTAAAATCTAACCTTCCTTCAATATTTCACTGAACCACTTAAAAAGCATCCCACATGTAGTAAAAGTAAAAATGCACTTTTTTTAGCATGCTCATGCTATTTGGCCATTGGAGACGAGAATACTCCCAGTTTACCAGATCGGGGTATTTTCATCCATTGTCCATTTGGTACTCCTGATGGTCCACAGTCTGGAACACCAGCAAAAACATGAATTACCAGCACTATTCAAGATTTCAAAATAAACTAATATTTGTTCCTACAACCAAACAGTCAACCTCCAAATAAGCAGACTTTGTATTATTGTGATGTTACTGTAATTTAGCATAGCTGCACTACATTATTCATTTATTTGGACTCTTTTGACCTTTTTACCTTCGAAGACTGGCCCGACACGAATTACCTCCGATTTAGTGAACAGCAGCTCCCATTCGTCACTTTAACACATCATCAAAACCCCAAATGCTAATAAAATAATCTTAGTTGAAATGTTAATGGCCCTTATTTACAAACAGTGCGTCTGCACAAATCTGTGCAAAAACCATGCGCATGAACTTACGCACAAATAAGGCATTCATCAATATTTTATCACGTGAAATTATTTGTACACAACACATTTTGACTTATTCAAACCATATTCTTTCGAAGAGGCTTTAATTGACAACAATGTTCAAAACCGGTATTTTGCATATGCTTGTTTAGGTATAATGTTTGCTCATGTTGCTAATTAGCACTAAAAGTAAGAAGCATTGGATCATTTAAAATTGTGGGGGAACCAAAGTTGTTACACTTCCTCCTGAGGAGGCCATGGATGTCTGTGGGGCAGGACTCAGATTAGGTGTTGTTCAAAGAAAAGAGAGTAATGTTTACCAGGTTTTGTTGGTTTAGCTCCCTGTCCCTTGGAGATGGAAGCTCCTCCTCCGTGCTCTGAAAAAAAAAAAAAAAAGGAGTGACAAACCGTCAAATCAGGATTTAGTTGGAAGTAATCCATGTACAATTTCTTTAAATAATGTTACACTTGCAACATCAGTGAACAATGCAATTGAAAAAATAAATTAGTGGGTTAAACTTAAGCCGCCTCATGCACCACGAATGCACCAAATTAAACTTCACATGTCAAAGCAATAGCTTGAAATTTTGGGAAACACGCTTATTCGCTTTGTTGGGGAGGGTTAGAGGATTAATCTTTACCAGCCCTTTAAGTGTAAAAAGACCAAATAGTGCTTTTAAAGGCAGGCTTACTGTTTCCAGTCTTTGTATTAAGTCAAGATAATAGATAGTTTTTTGTGTAATTAATATTCTAAGATTTAACCGCAAGGTAACTTCAAAGAAAAATGACCTTAATGGGCATACAATGGTGTGTAATATATATTGATATAGAGAATGTCATCTTTATTGCCAAAGTACTACACGTTAGACTGAATCATAGCCATTAAAACACCACAAATCTTGCAGGTTCATAATGTCCACAATTCTGCAACAGACTCAGGACAAAGTTAAGACAAATTCAGTCGACACATGCAATACACAGCGAGTGAACACACACAAATCAAGATTTAGTTTACCAGTTGCCCCAGTTTCTCCTGCAGTGAGACCTTTGACCGATCCTGCCCCAGGGTGACTTCTGATGTTTGCTTCTTCTGGTGCGAACTCAGGCACACCGACAGCCAGTGCTTCCTCGGGGATGATGCGCCCTGTGTTTTTAGCTGCCACTGTTTCAGGAACAGCTTTGGTTTTCAGGTGTTTGGTGCTTTCAGGGGCAGCATCCCCCTCGCTGGGGCCCTCTTCAAAAAGAGCATCTGCCTCTGCACCTTTTTGCTCAGGCAGAGCAATTCCAGTCACATAACCTAGAGGTCACACGTTTCATCAACATATTAACTTACTAAATGTTTGGAAGTCATTACTGATAATGTCCCCATAGTTTAAAAAAAACACAGAATATGCACATCTGTCGAAGACACATTAAAAGATGTGTAGACAGTCAAATTACAAATTCAAAAGCAACATATTATAAAACATAATTTCACACGGCATAATGAGGCCACATTGCTATAAACAACCAGTCAAGCAATGTTTTCAAATGTACAGGACACAATTCATTGTAATTGTAATGAAATAGTAGAGTGACATTCTGCAACTTTATGCCAATGTTAAATCATTACAACAGTGCAAAACATGCTGAACAATGCCAGATAAGAGTATACTGACACTCAATAAGTGTATAAAGGTGTATATACGTATCTTAAGTAAAGTAGATGTGTCTTGCTCTTTTTATTTAAAGCCATAAGGTTGTGAAAACTATTTAAAAAAATGTAGGGTTATACAATATAACTGCACATAAAACAGTTGTAGTGTCAGTTTTGTTAATAAGTTGGAAAAATATAACTATATTGACGGATTTTCGGAAGTTAAATTACTGTGAAAACAAGGCCACATGAAATAATGGTTTCACAGGCAACAAGGATTTTGTATTTCCTATCATTTATTTTTTCTAAATATAATTGGTAACATGAACTCATAAATATTCTTTGTTTAATACAAAATAAATACAGTACGTGGCTCTATCTAACAGAGTAGATCATATTACCGTGCCTCTTTAGAGGGATAATCATCTTTAGTGATGCGAAGAAGTCAAACATTTTTAAATGATTTGCCATTTAAAAAAAAAAACAACTTCGAGTAACTTTATGAGAGGATTCTTTCCTGCCACAAACGTTTTGCACAGATTCAGGTTTAGGGTACTTGCCTTGAGGCTGTGGTGCTGGGTTTGTCTTTGGAGCCTTGCCCTGTGGGCCCATGGGTCCTGGTTCAGGTCTGGGTGCAGGTGCAGGCTTTGGGCCTTTGCCTTGAGGAATCGCTGGTGCTGGTTCTGGTGTAGCCTGAAGGATTAGTGGCGTCTGTTTGTAGCTTTTTCCTTGTGGCACAGGTGAAGGCAGCTTTTGATATTTATCTTGTGTCACCATAACACGGATACCACGCGTCGGCTCGGGGGAAACTGGTGCTGCGCCTTCAGTTATTGCTTGTGGAGTTGCACTCAGCTGCTCAGGAGAGAGAACTCCACCTTTTAGGCCCTTTTCATTGTACGCACCTGCACTCTTTATACCCTTACTATTTGGCATCATGTCGTAGCCTGAGAACCAACAAATAAATACATTTGAATGAAAAAGAGTAAAGCTTAAAACATTAGGTAAGCTATACAGCAAAAGAGAGATAAAGCTGACAAAACACATGCATGTACAGGATAATTTACCAGTATTAGCTGCTTTAGCCAACTGTCCATTAGGTACACCAGCTGGACCACCATATCCTGTAAAACAAATCGTTTTGATCAACAAATTCCCTAGCACCTTCACTGGGCAGCACTGCTCCAACTCCTTTGCTAGTTTGTAGTTTTGAGCCTCCGTATGCTGCAAACAATGGTTTGTGTGTTTGCATAATTAATGTGTCACATTGTATGACAGTTTCAAGGCAGATATACATTTACCTTCACAGACATCTCTCAAGATTAACTTTGACATATTGTATTCAGAGCTTATTAATGAATCAAATGAATTTGACATTGGATAGCTGGAACTTACCGTTGGGTTTCCTTCCATATCCTCCGAGTGCAGCACCATTTCCAACTCCATGACCTGAAAAAATATATAAACAAGAGGTAAGCAAAGCTGGTAGTAATGGAAGATCTTAAATGCCTAAATCAAAACAAAGAAAAAAGGTGAAATACAATACATGTCCTTGCAAGCATTTCCTTTTTATGTATGCATTTGCTGTGTCAATTAAATGAAAAACAGATTAAAAGAACAATTATTTGGCCTTTGGTTTAGGTGTATTATGTTTCACTGCTGTCCAGCAGAGAGCAGCATAGACCTGCCATTACTAAATGTTTCCATGAAGACGTGAAAAGCGAAATAACTATCCTTTTAACATACGCTTTTATATACTGTATATACGCTTTTAATTATGACATATGTAAAAAGGAAATACAGTACAGTGTGGCATTTCACTTTACTTCTTTGTTTGACTTGTAATGTCGCCATTTGAAGTCTTCCGTATGTAATAATTGTAACCCACACATCACTGTATATTTTAACAGGTGGTCACCATTGGGTTTGGCTGCATAGCCTTTGGTTACGCCAGCTCCGGCTGCAGCTCCGTAACCTTGGGTTAAACATAATGTCACATAAAATCCCATCCCACTGAAACAGAAGACCATTTATAACACCTCAACAATAAATCACTTACCATTGGGTCTTGCTCCATATCTATTGGGAACCGCTCCATTTCCAAAACCTATGGTTAAACAAATCCTCACAAAACATCCTCATAACACAACATCCTCATCATAATAACCGTGTCCTTGTTTTGTGACACATTTAGAATACTAGCGTTACCTGGTTGGGGTTTCATAGCACCTCCTCTGGCGGCTCCATATCCTGTAACACATTCATTAAAGCAAATCACTTCATATTCAGCTTGAGATGCCATCAAAATACAACAGTGTTTTGAATCAAAAATACATTTGAAAAACAAGTGACGGTCTTACCGTTGGATCTGGTGCCATACCCATTTGGAATATTGCCATTACTTAGCTTTGTCTGTGCTTCACAGAGACATCCACAGATTCTCTCATTTGAAGTTAAGTTATTTATTTATTCTAAAATTATTTTGGTGCAAGAGACAACGGTTTAAATATTCTTAAAAAATTATAAAAAAATAAAAATAAAAAAAAAGTGGTCATAGCTCTGGAAAGGTAATACTGCACTTAGATCCCAAAATAATATATATGTGAAATTCAAAACACACCATAAGGATAAGTTATACGCTGTATTGGATATTATTCACAGGTTTACCGTTGGGTTTTGTACCTTGTCCATTGGGCAAACCAGCTGCAGCACCGTAGCCTGAAATTTCAACAATTGTCAAAAGAGTTCAGAGGAGGAACATGTTATCCAAAAATTCAGAGATATTATTTTCTCTTGACAGTAGGAGTATTTCTACCAGGCTTCGGTCCCTTCATTCCTCCATTCCCATACCGAGCTCCCAGACCCAAACCAGCGCTGCCATAACCGCCATTGTAGCCTGTAAATATTAACAAATAGTATTTATGTTTTATTCATTGTCCCGTAAGCCATGTCAAAAAGGACTGACTTGTGTATGACTAACCTCCCATGGGTTGAGCTCCATAACCATTACCACCATAGGCTAGAACAAAAAAACACAATGTTACAGGTGTATTAGGTGGTGATCTCAGAGCTGAGAGGTGGCCTTCACTCACCTTGGTTCCTGGCAAGCTGAGGTACTCCCATACCTCTGGAGGCTCCCATCCCCACACCTGGACCTAAAATCACAGAAGTACACGTGTATCAAAGTGAATGTTACTATTACCCCGAAAACAAGGTGGCAGAAGTTGAGTTACCTGCGCCATAATGTGGTCGTCCATATCCTTTCATAGGTTTACTTCCAGCTGCCCCCTGTCCTGTTAAATACAGAGAGATGCTTAAGTTACCTAAACAAAAAGATGAACATGTTTTGTGTTGCAAAAACTCAAAGAGTATCATGCTGACCATTTTAACGTGACCAGTCTTACCATTTGGTCTAGCTCCATTGCCGTTGTATGGGTCAGCTGTGGCTCCTTGACCTAAAGAAGGATTATTGTATTCTGTGATATCGTATACACATACTGTAAATTCAGTATTTTTATCTTAAGTTTTTGCAGACATTACCATAAGTTTTAGCCCCATTTCCATTAGGTACACCAGCTACAGCAGCATAGCCTGGTAAAGAGAGACATTTAATGAATCTACATACAGCACCGTAGGTATAGAAGAACTCACTGCAACATGTCGCTGACACTAAAGTGACTAACCAACAAACATTTCAATTAGGAATTAAAATTGTGTATGACGTACGAACAGGCTTTTTAAAGCAACTCATGTTGTCTTACGCGGGAATGCGTAGAACCTTTTAAACTCAAATCCTTTTAGTGTTGCTTTGGATACTATCCACTGTCTAATTTTAATGTTTGTATATACTGTAAGTGTATTTTTGTGTGCATGCTTTCACCATACACAACCAGATTGTTTCATTAACATCCAATCAACAGACTTATACATTTCATAACAATGCTGTAAGATCTACCATACCGTTGCCTTTTGT